GTATCAACCATAACACTATGTTAGCTATCTGCCTCCTCATAAAAATTTCCTAATACCTGATTGGCTTTTGCCCCCACTATAATTTACACATATTTATGTATATGTGTTTCATAATTTTACTCAATTTTCTTAAATTTAAGAATTTCAAAGACTTATTAGATATATACACTTGTGCAGAACTTCAAATCATGAGTTACTAACACCATACTAAAGATATATAAACTTTAATATGAAAAACTATTGGGTCCCTTAAAGCAAATTTAACAGAGTTAAGATTCAATATTTTACAAATACAGTTCATAACAGAAAAGGTCAAGAGGGCCCACAAATTAACAGCATTAGAAATTTTTCTATGGTAGTAAAAATAAGATTATTGATTAATAAATAATCTAGGTAGAAACATGGCATCAGTTCAAAGAACTAGGAAAAGTGCCACTACTGAGCATAAAGTCAAGTTCTTCTTAGGATGCTACTGAAGAACCTGTGATTCATTAAGAAAAAGTAAGTTACTATATGCTACCTTAAAATTTTTTGCTTTGTTCATGTTGTTTATATTATATGGAATACCATTAACTATTACGTCTATTTTAGTAAAATGTTGTATTTCTGTAAAGTGAAAGTAGATTTAAGTGTGGACACAAATGCCAAATTCCTGATTAACCTTAACCTGAAGCAAGGCTAATAGGTACTTTCCACTACCAGGTGACACCAATTTTACATGCAGAGTCTATGAAATTTGGGTTATTGCCTTGTAAACCTAAAAATAAAAATGTAATAAATGGTATTTTAACATTAAGTTTCAAGATAGGGAAAATATTTTTTCTAGTGGAAAATAAAAGACTAATTTTTGTGCATAGTACTGTTCTATACAGGCAAGTTAGGCGGAAGACAACAGGCAGCTAAAGGGGCACTGGTCCAAGGCAAAGTCAGGATGACTAGGCCTTAGTCAGATACGCAGGAACCTGAGGTCAAAAGATATGGTAAGAACCAGGTGGACAAACTCTGTGCTCTTACTTATATATGGAAAAAAAATTTTTTTTTCCTTCTCACTTTGTTCTTTTAATGAACCACTTTGGAGAGGATTGAAGCCACGAGAAACCTGCAGATACAAGTTTGCTACTACATGCCTCAACTGCTCATAGGCCCATTTCTACTTAAGTAAACTTATTTTCATCCTGCAAGTTAATCTTAGTTTGACTCAGAGTGGTCTGAACCCTGGTCACTATTTGGTATAAAAACTCCTAGACAAGAAGTGCCCTAGGCAACCTACATTCAGCCCCACCTGACTACTGAGAGCAATTCCTCTTAATAAACATTCCCCCTCACTCCTTTGTCCTCAAATTCAGTGTTCACAGACCCAGATTATACCATTACAGTATCACCAAACTGTCCTTAGAAAATTTTCAGACTGAAGCCAATGGTACTAATACAGTGATTTAATTTCCCTTATTCCTACTTGATTAGACTGTGAGGGCTACTAGTATAGATTAACCTTGGCTGGATCCTCCACTTGCTCTTAGGTATATACTGGTAAGGGCAGGAAAGAGACATTTATTGTACATGTGTGTGTTCACTCATAGTTGAGGAGTTCCTTGTACTTTAAATTCTGAGTTTGATTTGTCTCACAGTTCACTTATGATTTTCCAACATTCTTAGAAGAAATGAAAACTGTAAATCAGAAAATTAAGTAGTAAAATTATATAAAGTTGCCAAATCATAAAAGTACAATTCTATTATTTTACAAAGTATAAGAAAAAAATAACTTTTTATTAAAATAAAAACAACATAAGAAAACATTCAACTGCATTATTTTATCTAACTGGTGCTTAGTCCACTTACCCACCCACCAGAACAACTTGTTCAAGCCCATAGCTTTTACTGGATGGTGGAGTGTCTAGTGTTCCTTTCTACGATCTTGTTGCCCTGTTCAAAGAACTGGATGGGACAACTGATGAATGTAAAAGTTTAACATTTATTGAAGGTAAGAGAAGAAGTAAAAGTGAAAAAGGGGTGGAAAGAATAGAGAAAAGAAATTAACTCTGAAGAACAGAGAAAATATACTCTGCATGTAAAGTGAGCCACTGCAAGAATAAGAAGACAGTGGTGAGAAGGACAATGGTTGCCATCTTTTATACCCTTCTTCTGACCTCAGATCTAGGCCATCCCACACATGGTTCTGAAGCTGTTCTGACATGTATCCACGCTGTGATTTGACAGGTCTCTGACTGACAGATCATGTCAGACTGTCTTGCTGGTTTGCCATGTCCTAATCTACAGCCTCACAATTGCACAGCCACTCTTAATATTTATAAGTTTTACTTTCTGAGGTATTTATCATCATTGCTTACTCAAAATCTCAAAATGTATTCTCTTCTTCTTTGATCTCTTTTCTTTTTTTTTTTTTTTTAGACAGGGTTTCACTATGCAGTTCAGGCTGGCCGTGAACTCACTTTGTAGCCCAGGTTGGTCTCAAACTCACAGTAATCTTCCTGCCTCAGCTTCCTGAATGCTTGGATTACAGACCTGGTGGTAAAACATATTCTTTTCTTAGGAATCACCCTGACCTCTGCCCTTCCTCCCGGTATCTTCTATTATTCTAGACAATCTCTTTCTTCTATGATTACATTTCTTTTGATTCTTTTCTCCTGTTTTTTAAAAGCCATGATGAATTCTTACCTTATTTTTTTTGGTGGTACTGGGGCTTGATATTGAGGGCCTCCTGCATGCTGGGCAACTAATCTACCACTAGCTGTATCCCTAACCCCTAATATTTACCTCTTTTTTTTTTTAGGATACCAAACAATGTTTTTAAGTCTCTCTCTCTCTGAAAAAAAGTTATTGTTTACCCAGAAGGGACAATCTAAACAAAAGGGCACCTTGATTAAGTATAATTATCTTATGTGTTTTATATATTCTTTTTGGCCTATTGGTCTGGTTGTTAAATCTGTATCTAATTGACTTTATAATGTCTTATAAGATAAATAAACCTGAAACCAACAAAATACAAAGGGGTGGAGGGAAAGGGAAAATAAAGAGTTGAGATGCACTATGGATATGTACCAATTCCCTACAATGAATGTAATCACAATGTGTTGTTGCAAGCGTACTAATAAAAATTTTTTAAAAATCTTTTTGGATAATAATTCATTTTTCAACATACACTTTCTGAGTTCCTGCTATTTATACTGTATAGTGCTTTTCTTTTTTTTTTTTTTTTTTTGTAGCAACAGGATCAGCCTTGAATTTTCTATGTAGCCTAGGCTGAATTGGCTACAATGGCTTACAGGGTTTTACAAAGAAATATATATTTGTCCAGTTCCTCTACAGTATTTTTTTTATTTACTGGGAATATTATTCTTTGACTCAGTGGTAGCAAACCTATGGCACATGTGCTGCAGCAGGTTTGTTATCATTCAAAGCTCTAAAAGGTTTGCTATCACTGGACTAGAAAAACTCTTGACAGGAGACTAGAGAAGGGCAGAAATAACTGGCTGCCTTATCCAAAGTAATAGTTATCTTAGTGCTTTCTACTTATTTTTAGTTAACTGAAACATCTTTTCTTCAAAGTGAAAGCTATAAGGGTTTTAGATTGGTCTTCCTAATCCAGCTTCATTCAGTGACAATTACAGTAACAGAAAAATATCCAGGTGCATTGAAGGTTGATTGTTAAACTTCTTTTTCACAAATGCTGTGTGCTTATATCTTAGTTTTCAAAAAATACCTTTTTTCTATATCTTCATAGTATAGTAAATTCCAAACTGGGAAGGAAACATCAAGAGATGTCAACCTGCTGGGTGCGGTGGCATGCACCTGTAGTCCCAGCTATTCGAGAGGCTGAGGTGGGAGAATTGCTTGAGTCCCAGAGTTCTGGGCTGCAGTGCGCTATGCGGATCGGGCGTCCACACTAAGGTTGGCATCAATATGGTGATCTCCTGGGAGTGGGGGACCACCAGGTTGCCTAAGGAGGGGTGAACTGGCCCAGGTTGGAAGGAGCAGGTCAAAACTCCCGTGCTGATCAAGAGATGTCAACCTATTAACTTTTTCTTAACAAGATTTAAAAAAAAAAAAATAAAACTTGCTTTCTGTCAAGATCATGTCATTACAAGACACACTATAGAATCTAAAAAGGTTTTATTCTTTGCCTTCATAGGTCTTAATATTCACCAAAAACAGCACTGAGAATGTAGGCAGATAAGGTCAGGCTTCTCTTTCCTTCAGAGAGGTTATGTTTTCATCTGGGGAATAGTGCCTGAGGAATTACTGGTTATGCATAATTATCTGTTATGCCATTAACTATGGCTTCTTGCACTTGGAGGGTAAATGAAGAGCTATTTTCTAGTTAATATATGGTTTATCTATACCACCTCTGGGGCTCCTAGTAAGACTTTCATGATGCTTGCTCCCTCTCTCTTTCAGTGAGGACTGGAACATAAACTAACTGCAAATTACTAGGAGGCTTTTCTCTACTAGGAATAAAACAGAATTCTCAGATCAAGATGAACTGTCCTGCAATTTTGAGAGGAGACTACATCACAGTTTTAAAAGAAATAAAGTTTGAGGCACACATGGTGGTGCCTGCCTGCAATCCCAGCTACTTGGGAGTCTGAGGTAGGAAGATAGCAAGTTTTAGACCAGCCGAGGCAATAACGAGAAACTTTGTCTCAAAATAAAATACAAAGGGCTAAAGATGTAGCTCAAGTGTTAATGTGCTGGCTTAGCATATGTGACACTCCAGATTCAACCCCTAATAGTGCACATTTAAGCACGCACACACACACAGAGAAATAGTGTACGAAAATTTAGTATCATTTTAATGTGAATCGCTTCTGGGCCTTTTGGCTAAGATCAAGTGCATTTTAATGTGTATTAGTTCTCAAAAAACAAGCTATTTTAAATATTATCTTTGAATATTTTTATCTGTCCAAAGACTATGAGAAGCAATTAAAATTTCAAGAAGGTGTAGAAGTTTTAAACAATGAAAACTGTCAGTAATTATAGTAGACAATAAGGACTCTGAGCTTATGATTTATACATACTAATTCTTTTTGAGGCAGGTCTCACTGTGTAGTTCAGGCTGGCCTTGTACTATGTAGCCCATGTTAGCTTCAAACTTGGGTGATTCCTGTGCCTCAGCCTTGTCAGTGTTGGGATTATAGGCATGTACAACCACACCTACCTGCACATACTTTTAAAAGCTGTTTTTGATTTTGTTTCTATCCACAGGCTAAATTTTTGGGAGTGATTTCCGTATTATATGTTTGTTATAGTAAATTCCAGGCTTCCTTAAAAAAGAAAGTGGAAAAGGGAATAGACTTCAAATGTACTTCCTATGATTTGAACATTTTCTACGACTGGAGTAATTCTAAGATGATGAGAGCTCCAGTGCTACTAAAATTGCTAACTGAGAAGGAAAAGAGGCATTTAGATTACATGCCAACCTTGGTACCAAATTAGACAAGCCAGGGCCAGTGGCACAGCACTTGCCTGGCAAGCACAAGGTTCTGAGTTTGATTCCCAGTAGCCAAAACCCTGCCCCCTCAAAAAAGAAAAGAATAGCCAGTAAGCTGACGTGTATTTATTTTTCAAAGAAGTAATCACACCCACCTTTGCTCATCATCTGGCCTCTTGATCAAATTGAAAAGTATGTGGAGAAGCTGATCTCTCTCTTTAGGCTCAGGATGTAGACATGCTGTACACAATATGAGGGGGATCAACTCCTAAAGAAATATGAAGGTACAAAAATTTAAAATAAAAATACATTGCAGAAAACTTTTTTTTTTTCCCTAGAATACTCTTAAATGGATGTCTTCAATATACCAAAAAGCAAATTTCAATTCTGTAAGGTTGACAATAATAAAACAATGAAAATGTTAAAATATACATGTTGGTTTGTACAGAAAATGTAAATCACTATGATAAATCTTCTTTAAGGTTTAGCTAATCTTTTTTTTATCCAGTACTTCTCAAGGGTCCATTAGCTTTTTATACTAAATACTATAATATCCATAATTTGCCAAGCTGACACATAAATTTAATTCTAAAAGTTTTCATAAAACAAAACTTGCAGAAATTCACTATATTTTAAACTTAAAAAGACAACCAAAGAAAAAAAACTCTTCCCACACATACAAGGACTATAATAATTTTGTACCTTTCACACCTAACTCAGCAGTAAACTTAAAAGACCATTTCTTGGGAGTTGTTCTGAGGTAAGGTAGTAGTTGTCTAGGGTTCGATCTTCAATACAGCAAAAAAGAGAAAGGCCAATTCTATTCTATTGTGAATACACAATATCAGAACTATTTGACGTTAAATATTTAACATTGTTTGTTCACTGTACATTCAACATGCAGAGGTAAGTTCAATATTTTGTAAAAGTAATAGTTAAAATTTTATTTCTTTCAAAGAAATATATATATATATATTTTTTAAATTTTTTTTTGGTTTTTCTCCGGTACCAGGAACCGAACTCATGACCTTGCGCTTGCCAGGCAGGCGCTTTTGCCGCTGAGCTAAATCCCCAGCCCCTCAAGTCCTTTTAATAAGGACAGCAGAGGAGCTGCCCAGTCGCCCCTTGCTGGGCCAGGAGGCGGCTCTTAAGTCGAAGGGCCGGGGAGGCAG